ACCGTTTCGAAGTCTGTTATGATGGTGGGTCTACCTTCACCTTTAGTTCCTATATTTTCCAAAATCCGCCGATGTTCATTCAAAATGGTCCTAACAGCAACACTATTCTCCAAAATGTCCTTCAAAATTCTTCCATGATCACAACATCCTAGAAATATTGCAAATATTTATATTTCGGTTTAAGAATTGTATGATTCATTGGGAATCAATATGAATTATGAGTGTGTCAAAATTATATTGGAGTTTATTGAATTGAAAAATATAAAATGTGTGTTTCTTATATCAAGGTTTTCTTCTGAATTGTGGAAATGGTGGTGTGGGAAGCCAATCTTCTCAAACCACATTCCTTTCATAAAAAACAATGAATTTTTTGTGATGACAACCTGAGTATTCCTTGGAGGATTTCGAATTATCATTCTCTTCTCTTTCAGCAATGTGATGCCTATTCTAGCTTGGAACAGAAAGCCGAGTTGTTATGATACAGAGCGATCAATATCTCATTTCAGCTCTACAATTTCTTCCTAATCGCCTATCAAACTGAAATGGCTCATTTTTGAGAGTCATATCCATATGGCAAGTAATTTAAAGTAGGCATTCAATATTCCATCTAAGTTTGTGATCGTAAATTCGAGAATCCAGATCAAAGCGGGTCTCGAATCACATGGAAAGTTTTATGAGTTTTCATGAAAAATCTTCCCGATATCGCGTCGGGTAATTGAATCCGTGTTCTCTCAGTTCGAAATCGAATAGAGGGCCATGAAATGGCAATCTAATAATGCCGAAACTTGAATTTTGCATAGCCTATTGGCAATTCATCACTCCTCGAATTCCATTTCATACATATCTACTAGGACAGGGGCAAACTCACTTAGAAACCTTTCAGTTTTCAGCTTTCACCAGGATACAGTGTGATTCCGTTATGTAGGACCAAACTTATTGAACTAAACTGCTCCACATTTGAAGTGGGACAAGCGAATAATTTGTTTATTTTCGAACCGTAACAACTTTGAATAGAATCAAACGATTTTTGATTTTTTTTTGTATTCGGACTGCTCAGTCAATTGGGTATGACATGATTTTCTTACGTCTCTCCACCTTTTCGGAATCATGACCTACAGGATGATATCTGAAAATGTGATAATTTTAGAAAAGTTTGAGGTCGTTCCGTTAGTAGGATAATTTTTTAATTTTTTTTCTGACTGCAAAAACATGAAGTCTGATGTGTTTTCTCGAAATGGTTTCGGATTCATCGTGATCCATACAGGAGGTTTTGAGATATGCAATTTTGAACAAAATATGGCTCTTCGAATTGTTTGAATACCTTAAATTCATTGGTTTACCCCTCGGTATAGTCTCATGTTATCTGGGTATTGTTTTTATGGTAAAGTGTTCCCAAGAGTATGGACCTAGCTATGACTTTTGAAAACGATTCATCTCGAAAATAGTGAGTACTATCAAGTTGTATTTTTGTATGTTCTGTTTCCCACGAAAAGGGATATCTTGTAATATTCAGAGAACAGCGTGAGAACCAAGGTAAATATGGTAGGAATTGGTGTTCTTCCTAAATTTCTTGAGGATATATGCCTCGGGGAACACCTCCCTTGGCTATGTGTTCCAGTGCCTCGCTGTTGGTTGGATAGACGAGTCTTTGGAAAGAGATGTTCTGCAGCTCTCCAAAGTGAGCACGAAGGGATGCGAAGCCTCAACTCGATGGGTTAATCTCGCGGGGACTGCCAAGGGAGAAACAATTGTTGATATTTCAGAAGAGCATCGTCCATGAAAATATCTATAAAATAGAGCCATATCGCCAACTTTTTTACGGTGTTCCAGAGAAGTGAGTGAGTTTATGAGCGAGGCATCACCCACGAGACGAATTGCCCTTTTTTGGACAGAATCCAACAGTTTCAGGATATGTTTGGGTGTTGCACTCCAAATATGGAAACAGTATTCCAGGACAGGTCGGATCTGTGCCTTATAGATCATAAGCAGCTGACTGGAAGTGAAATAGCTCCTGGCCCGAAACAGAAAGCCAAGTTTTTGGGATGCACTTTTCGCAATTGATCTCAAATGATTTTCCCAAGAAAGGTTATTGCTGATAGTAGTACCAAGCATCGAAATTGATGTCTTGAAAGGTATGGTCACTCCTGACATGCTCATGTTTGGCACAGTGAGTTTGGCTTTTCTAGAGAAAAGGGATGCTTGTGTTTTGTTTGCATTGAAATCTACCAAGTTATTGGATCCCCATTCGAGAATTGTTGCCAAGTCCATATTTAAGTTGTCAACATTTCTCCCTCGTTCGTACCTGATTTGTCTGGCTGGTATTGGAGCCCTGGAAGAGAAGGCGGTATGGAGGGTACTATCGTCCGCGAAGCTGTGTACTGGACATGAAGTTGCTTACATCAAATCGTTGATATATAGAGTACCTTCGGATATGATTTTATGATATTATATAATAACTGATATCCAACACCCTGTATCTCAATAACGAAGCAACCCCGGACATGTTTTCATTGAAACTTTCTTTCCCAAAATGTACAGGGCTAGTTTTATTATTATTTATTTACAGGGTATACAGAAATAAATATATTTTTCAAATGGAACGCCCTGTATATTTCGATAAATTTGATATCCTAAATCATCCTGATTTCTAACATATATATAGAAGGATCTTCATCTATCAAAATATACAGCACATTCCATATGAAAAAAATCAATATATTTCTGTATATCCTGTATATTTGAAGAGATATTGCAACACTCTCTCAATATGATTGAAACCAATATGGAATATCGTGAAAAAATCAGTTTTGAATCTTCTTGAAATCTTGAAACAAAAAAGATGAAGGGAGGTTCACATTAATAAAACTCACATGACGTGAGATATCTATACCTTCTATTTTCTTGTGGGTCACACTGTAAACAGTAGAGTCATCATCAATTCAAATTCAATTTATTTCTGCATCGAACTATAACAGTACTAGCACCACTAGCCAGTAAATGGAAATGGAAATAAAATATGTTCAAATAAATTTCGCATTTTCCGATTTCAGTTCCGCCATTGCGATGAATTATTTATATTAGAATCGAATAAGAAGCAATAGACTGCAAATATTTATGATTGGATATTTCATGACAGTAGTTTATGATGCAGTTCATGATATGGTTTTCATGATATTTCTGGTAATACGCTATATTTCACGTTTAGTATCAATCAAATACAGAAATATACCGGAAATAATATGGTAATATTTGGAGAAATCTGAACAATAAGATGCCATCCTCAGTAAAACTAGAAAAGAATTGAAGATCACCTGACATTCTCTAGAAATCATCAGCGAAATATCATGTCAATGTTGGTGATTTCTACTTACCCCTAATTATTTTACGGTTCAGGAAAGATTGGAACTAGGAATGAAATCTAAATCATGATGGTTTATTTAGTATATATAATCAAGGTTATAACTAATTAATCTCCAATCTGAATTCTTCCTCAAACATTTCGTTTCCTTACGATGTTCTCTGAACATTACAGGATAACCCTTTCCGTGGGAACCAGAACATAAAAAAGAGATGGTCGAGAAATACTATTTTGCCGGAAATATTCAGCGATTGTTACATCTTGTTGCTTAGAAATTTTGCGAATGACATTGTTTATCAAAACTATCGTGCCATAGGCTAGAAGTTTTGGAACAATGTCATGAGCAAAATCAAAGCAGCAAGCTGGAGTATATCAATCGACAGATATTTCCAGGAAAATAATATCACGAGTTGTATTCGTATGACTATTTCATGATTGAATCAGACAATGAATGATACATGAATACAGAAATCCGTGCTGTATAATTTTGCTCCTGTATAGGGAGAGCGAGTCCAGAGAAACCGTGAGAATAACATGGTGGATTTTGATGGCTTACATTGTTATACCAGGTTTCAAGTTGTATTGCAAATATGGGTTTATGGTATGTGCGAGGAGGAAATTTGTCACTTATTATTCATTTCCGGTTTCACGGAAAATGACTCCGGTTTGGGAATTTTTAAATGGAACACCCTGTATATTTTAACAGTTTTGGATTTCTGTAGCGATCATGGATCAGGATATGACCTTTTCAGAAGTTTTAACACCTATACTTCATTTTTTAGGAGTCACTTTTAATGGTGTTGTCAGAAAATGATAACCGCAAAGTTTTAGTGACAAGTATTATTGATAGGAAGGATACAAGTTGACAACGATTTTTTGACAAGCATTTTTCGAGAAAAGGATTTTCTGACGAATTTAACGATATTACTTTTTTGCGATTGGATTGAAAATAACGAAATAGATTCAGTATTACAGAGGAAAATACTGGATATCTATTTATTCACATTTGTCAAATGTTTCATGATGGACAGCCATAGGATGCATAATATTCTGCAATTATTTTCCAATCTTCATTGGAAAACGAAATACTCAGGTATCCACTTTTCACTTTGATTGACAAAATTTTTAGCAGGAAAATAAACTGAATTCTGAAGAAAATAAAGAATCTTTTACTGCCTGCTCATGAGGCTTATCTCACTATCATTACCTGAGTATTTTGTTTTCCAAAGAGAGTTCTGAAACATAATGAATAATAAAGAAATATCCTCAGTGATATTGAAATTATGTTCTCATTTTCAATCCAACCACAAATAAATCAGTTTCTTCTAATTCGTCAATGAATCCTGACACCACCTGAGATACTCAGATAAGATTTTGTCCAATCATGACCACCTAGATGCAATATTGGAAGTGACACTGAATAAATTAAGTAGGCGTCAAAACTTCTGAAAATATCATGTTCTGATCCAGAATTGTCTCAGGAATTCAAAAATGTCATAATGTACAGTGTGTTCCATTCAAAAATTCAAAAGTAGGGCCGTTTCCGGTTAAACCGGAAGCCGGAAAGTGAAAAACATTTCAAATTCAATTTTGATACACCGAATATTCTGGAAATTATAGCTTGTCTAATAGTTTCTTTGTCACCCGGTATTGGTTGAAAACACTGGAATATCAGATTCTCACATGTAATGTAATATTTTTCTTTTCAGAACGCCTGAATGTTTTGTACGAAAAAAACTGGACCAAGTTGGTCACGGAACAATTGAAGAGGTTCGAAAGATCGATAGTGGAATCAGGTGGAAATGAGGGTCCCTTCAGTGCATCTAGAACACCCTGGACATTTTGCAGTGCCCTTTTGTACTCCATTACTTTGCTGACTACAGTAGGTGAGGATTGACATTGAATTGATACCTAACGATATACCAATGTACAGTGTGTTAGGACCTAGTAACGCTTGTGGTGCATACAAGATTTAGCCACCTCTAGCTCTAGTGAATTCACTGTTCATGTGCGAGATTTGCAGGAATAGCACTCGAATCTAGTAGGTATTCATCAATAACGACTTGTCATATACTGTCATGGTAATGGCTACTAGATTTTAATCAGAATTGAAAAAAGTGCTTCTATAGTGACAATATAGGGTATATATCTCAGTTTCACAGAACTATACATTCTGATTCACGGTGGAAGGCTCATTAGACGTTTCTGGAGAACGTACACAGTGAAAAACCGCTTCGAATAAATCCGTAGAGTATGTTTTTGGAGTTAAAATACTCTGACAAACTCACTCTAATACTGCAATCAACTCTATTACTGCACTTCTCGCAGATTATCTCCTTTGAAACAAATTCTAGATTGAATTTTCACTATTCTCGTATTGAATTCACTCTATATTCCTGAAATTTCAATATAATATCAATTCAGATAACTCAATTCACAAAATATTGAAATTGCATTCATACTAGTGTTTACTGACACTAGTGAACTTGAATATTCCTCTCTTGTCGATTAAATTGACACTCTATCATTGTTCAATTCAATCTACGATGAAATATCAATAATCTATCTATCCAATTGTTCATTTACTATCAATTGATATTTAATTGGAATAGGTACAGGGTGGTTCAGAATTAAGAGTTTCAACCACCCTGTATCTATTTCAATTAAATATCAATTGATAGTACATGAAAAGTTCAGATGGGGACATGAGAATCGTTTTGTCTAATTATGAATAGTTTAGACACAAAAACATATAGTATTGATAAATTGATGAGAATTTACAAGAACACATGTTGTTACTATACGTTAGTTCTTACATTTCAATCATTTCATCACAAACAACCATCAACATGCAAATTTTCTTACCAAATACCACTTTGGGAATTTTTTCTCGAACACGAATATTCAGAAAATTTTCCCTCGTTTTCGACTCGGGAGAATTTTCAAAATGTTCGTGTTCTCGGAAAAATTTCCGGAAATAATTGAAGCTCTCGTGATATTATAAATGAAAATTCGTTATGCTCTTCTCATGTCGCATAGAAGTATTTTGCGCATTCACCATTATTTCAAAACAAGGGTTTTGGCGAATGAGCATCAAACTTTCAAAGACGTCGCAGACTTATTATCAATAATTTATTGTTTTGAACAGAACACAAAATCGAAATTTCAGAGGTTTCAATTTTAGGAGCCAGGAGCCAGGAATGTTTTTCCATAGTTTTCATGTCGTCGCAACATAAAATGATGACCTTGGCTACTGCGAATAAGTACTTCCAAATATTCGGGTTATACATCGATAACTTGTTGCCTAATTGTTACAAAGAGCGTCACTTAAACATTTAAAATAATCCGACCACCAAGCGGGAGTTTGTATGTAGCTATGAATCATTTTCAATAACTGCTCATGATAACTTTATTGACAATGCAGCAAATAAATCTCAAGCAATGTGGCAAACATAAATTCCCGAAAAAACTCAACATCCACCCCTGAGGGTACTAGGCTCAATGCTCATGTCTTTAATAATTTTTTTACTTCAATAGCTGGCGAATTAATCGAAAACCTTCATAGTACAGGGTGGGCAAAATTGGGCGTTTTCACCGTCTATCTCAATAACTAGAGGAGTTATCGAAAATCCGATATACATGTTCCGGGTTTGATTTTGGAGAAACCTCGAATGGCACAATCAAAATTTAGATATCTGCATTCGTTTTAGAGATACAGGGGGAAATTGAAAATTTGCCGATTTCGATTCTATTTCCTGACTACTTTACGGTGAGAGGTATCATAAAATTTCAAACGTATATTTATACAGTATGATGCGTGGAATCCATTAGCAACATCAGAAATTTTATACAGGGTGACGTTGAAAAGATTCGGCAGCCAATTATGTTTTTTCTAATGGTATATTTTGGCACAGTTGAATAGTCCCAGGCGTTCTCATTACGAATATATATATAATCCTACCTTTTCCTTCCACAATTTCAGATATATTCGCAAAAATATATTCAGTGTGTCACATTTCTTATGGTTACACCCCCGTATCTTCTGTATCTGGAATTTGGACATCTTCTATAAGGCTATATTTTTCAACGCAACCTACTGATTTCCTAATTGAGTAAATTATTGGTCTTATTTCTGTATCTCAAATGTCTTGATAACAATGATATCAAATCGAATAATTTCCCATTTTATTTCTCACCAAATATCCATTTATCTGGAAACTATATTCCCTATGATATTTATTTTCCACATTTGGTGAATATATACAGAGTGTCATTTTCAACCTCGATTCTGCCTGTTGATAGCATTATACAGAAATATCGATGATTCCATAGCTGCTGGCGAGCAGTGTTATCATTGGAGATGATCCCACTTGGTCCATGACTCCATGAGTGTATCATTTGTATCTTTCTGACAGTTGCGAATTTTTAAATCCTACCTCAATTATTTTTACAGAAGATACGGGGGTGTAACCATAAGAAATGTGACACACTGAATATATTGTTGCGAATATATCTGAAATTGTGGAAGGAAAAGGTAGGGTTATATATATATTTGTAATGAGAACGCCTGGGACTATTCAACTGTGCCAAAATATACGGGGTGTTCCATTAGAAAAAACATAATTGGCTGCCGTATCTTTTCAACGTCACCCTGTATAAAATTTCTGATGATGCCAATGGATTCCACGCATCATACTGTATGAATATACGTTTGAAATTTTTTGATACCTCTCACCGTAAAGTAGTCAGAAAATAAAATCGAAATCGGCAAATTTTCAATTTCTCCCTGTATCTCTATAACGAATTAAGATATTGAAATTCTGATTGTGCCATTCGAGGTTTCTCCAAGATCAAACCCGGAACATGTATAACGGTTTTTCGATAACTCCTCTAGTTATTGAGATAGACGGTGAAAACGCCCAATTTTGCCCACCCTGTACAAATTGCTCCTACAACGATTATCTAACAAACAAATATACAGGCTGTAGCTTTGTGTTTCAAGAAGTCAGTCAAGATATGAATCTAGATAAAATCTCAGCCTCAAAAACAGTAGCAGCAAAGACTGCTATGATATAAACGCTACAATTATCGAACAGCTCAAGGATACAATATTATGTAAACCATTGACTGACATGTTCAACCACTGCATTCGTGTAAGTAAATTTCCATCCCATCTTCATCAGCTAGCAAAAGTGTTTCCCATCTTTGAAAAAAAGGGTGATCCCGAATATCAAACCAACTACAGGAAGATATAATCGTTGCCAATAATAACAAAAATATTTGAATCACTGTTAAAAGATCAAATGAATGAATATTTTGAACTAAATGGCATATTTTCACCAAACTAGTTTGGTTTTCGCAATAAACAAAGTACTATCTTAACCATCAACTAATTGAGTATGAATAGCTGAAGGCCTTGATAATAAACAGAATACTTATGCTACCTTCCTCGATTTGACGAAGGCGTTCGATTGTATTTCTTTCGAAATCCTCTATGAAAAGCATTTCACTTCAATTTTAACCACCAGTGTCGCTCTTGTCAAGTCATATTTGGAGGAGAGGGAGCAATATGTTTTTTTCAATAATGCTGAATCAAAAAAACAGAGGATGCAGCAAGGAGTTCCACAAGGCTCTGTGCTGGGTCCTCTGCTGTTTCTCATTCACATAAATGACCTGCCTAACTTCGCCAATGCCAATGATTACCAGATTGAGAATTTGTTTTTGGCTAACAAATTGAGTCTAAATGCCGACAAGACGCATAATATGAACTTCACTTCCCAAACCTATTCATCAAACCTAGAATGTCAGGCATAAGTCGAATTTTTGGGGGTCGACCAAGCTGTCCAAAATAACTTTCCTAATACGAAGCCTTTCAAAAAATGTATCCAGGGACACCCTACTGTCGTCTTACCATGGATACTTTAATTCCAATTCATCCTATGCAATTTTGAACTGAGGTAATACTTTTCAAATCTTTAAATTACATAGACGCAGTGTTAGAATTATCGCAGGTTCAAAATATCGAGATTGTTGTAGAAATGGTTCCGCAGAACTAAGACTGAACCTAGTAAACTCCAGATCACATAGGGATATCCACTCATATTCAATTAAATAGAAATAGAGATAATTTAGTCCTGAGCTACCACAGATTAGAACGTACAAGAAGGGGCAAAAAAATATAAAATGCTCTTCCTATAGAGATAAAAAACCTATATTTTGACTATTTCAAATCCAAAGTCAAAACGAATCTTTCAAAAAATGCCTTCTATTCCATCGATGAGTATCTAGAAGGTGATTTCAATATGTAAATTTTGATATTTTGATGTTCTTCTTACTATTTATTGCTACCATTAGTATCTTACCTAATAAGTGTTGTCCTACTATTTGTAGTTTTTTTCACTATTTTATATCAATTGTAACATTTTTTCTCTCCCCATTTTATATATCTGACCTGTAAAAGCACTTTAGTGTGAAACTTTGCCAATAAACGAATTAAAGTAAAATAAAGTAAATTATGGCAATGCAAATAATTCTAAATTTCTGATTGGTGGAACTACTGTATATCCACTTATATTCGAAATCATGCAAAGTAGCTTTACGTTCTGATTGGTTTGAAACCATACGAAGAAAATAATGATAATAATAGCTATTATTATAAGGTTACAGCAAACTGTCCCCAAAAACGGTGCTGGGCAAAATATCCTCGATGGTATACGCCGTGGTGGGAGTCCCTTTGATGCTGATCTTGCTGTCGGCCCTGGGAGGTTTCTTGGCCAAAGAGGCCCAGCGGGGCTACTCGAGGATGTGCTGCCATCGAAAGGAGGGTGCGCTGAAGAGGTCCTCGTCCTCTGTGGGGTACCGCAAGGCTCCTACCAGCCCGACGGGGAGGTTGCGGTGTAGGTCGCACGATGGTGAGTTGGTGGATGAGGTCGTTTTCATTTCGATCTGGTTTTTTTTCAGATGTATTCCTTCATATACTGTCATCACCATTTTTTCAGTTGTATTTCAGAAAGTTTCAATTGTATTTGAAAATGGTCACTTGTGTTAAAGAGAGCATCAATTGTATTCCAGAATAGTCATTTCTATTTCAGAAAACGTCTATGGCATTTCGGAGAGAATCAATTATCTTTCAGAATTGTCAATTGAATTTCACAAAGCGTCAATTATATTCAAGAATAGTCACTTGTATTCCAGAAGCGACCATTGTATTTCAGAATAGTGATATAAATTTCAGAAAGCGTCGATTGTTTTACCTAATAGTCACTTATATCACAGAAAGCTTCTATTGTGTTTCAATTTCAGAATAGTCGTTTGTATTTCAGGAAGCGTCAATTTTATTTCGGAATAGTCAATTCAATTTCAGAAAGATTCATTTGTATTTCAGAATTGTCATTTGTATTTCAGAAAGCATGAATTGTACTTCAGAATAGTCATTTGAATTTCAGGAAGCGTCAATTGTATTGCAGGATAATCAATTCAATCTCAGAGAGTTTCAATAGTCTTTCAGAATAATCAATTGAATTTCATAAAGTGTCAATCGAATTTCAGAAAGCGTCAATTGTATTTCAGGATAGTCACTTGTATTTCAGGAAACATCAATTGAATCTCAGAATAGTCTTTTTAGTTTCACAAAGCGTCACTTGTTTTTCAGAAAACGGCAGTTGTATTTCAGAATAATCATTTGAATTTCATATAAAGCGTCGATTGTATTCCAGAATAGTCAATTAAATTTCAAAAAGCCGCAGTTATATTTCAGATTAGTCACTTGTATTCCAGAAAGTGTCAATTGTATTTCAGAATAGACAATTCAATCCCAGAAAGCGTATTGTATTTCAAAATAGTCACTTGTAAATCAGAAAACGTAAATTGTATTTCAGAATAGTCACTTGTATATCAGAAAACGTCAATTATATTTCAGAATAGTCATTGGAATTCCATATAAAGTGTCGATTGTATTCCAGAATAGTCAATTGAATTTCAGAAAGCCGCAATTATATTCCAGTATAGTCACTTGTATTCCAGAAAGCGTCCATTGTATTTCAGAATAATGATATAAATTTCAGAAAGCGTCGATTGTTTTACCGAATAGTCACTTATATCACAAAAAGCTTCAATTGTGTTTCAAAATAGTCAATTCAATTTCAAAAGCGTCAAATGTATTCCAGAATTGTCTCTTGTATTACAGAAAGCGTCAATTGTAATTCAGAATAGTTAATTGTATTTCAGAATAGTCAAATCAATTTCAAAAAGGGTCAATTGAATTTCAGAATAGTTAATTGAATTGCAGAAAGTTTCTGCTGTATTTTAAAATGTACGCACCTGTTAGGTACAAGCGTGCGGAAAAATTCAAAAGTTAACATAAAGATACAGTTATTATTATTAAATATTCAAATGTCAGTATACTCTTCAAAATATTGAAAAATTAACATTTTCGCTCTAGTGCGGAAAAGTGACACTTCCAGCATTACAATTAGTGCGGAAAAGTGGACTTTTCCGCAAGCTAGTAGACAAAATATACAGGGTGGGCCACCAGTAACGCCTCGGTCTCTAGAAGGCTGACCACTTATCTTCTTGGAATTCTTCCTCTCTAGGAAGTTGCATGTCAACATAGGCTACCATTTGAAATTATTTTGAAACATACAGGATGTCCCCAAAAATCACAAAACACTGAAGTTGAACTTTTTTCTATCGAACACCCTATATATTATTTCATTTTGAGATTCTCCCTGATGAGCTGATTTCAACGACCCATCATACTTGGGGTCTAGCAGTTATAATTACTGAAATATAGGGTGTGAAAAATCGAGATTTTCCAAGTTCAAGAATTTTTTGTGTCGAAACTATTCATAATTGGTCAAAACGGCTTACATGTCCCTATCTCAACTTTTGATCAACTATCGACTGATATTTAATTGGGACATATACCGGGTGATCAAGATTCTGAATTCTGCACCACCCTGTATTTGTTTCAATTAAATGTCAGTAGATAGTTGATCAAAAGTTGAGATTGGGACATGTGAGCCGTTTTGACCAATTATGAATGGTTTAGACACAAAAAATTCTTGAACTAGGAAAGTCTCGATTTCTCACACCCTATATCTCAATAATTATAACTGCTAGACCACAAGTATGATGGATTGTTGAAATCAGCTCACCAGGGAGAATCTCAAAATGAAATAATATATAGGGTGTTCGATTGAAAAAAGTTCAACTTCAGTGTTTTGTGATTTTTGGGGACATCCTGTATGTTTCAAAATAATTTCAAATGGTAGCCTATGTTGACATGCAACTTCCTAGAGAGGAAGAATTCCAAGAAGATAAGTGGTTAGCCTTCTAGAGACCGAGGCGTTACTGGTGGCCCACCCTGTATATCAACAAATTAATCATTATTGATATATCAATATTGAACTTGCAATTTGTAGCAGTCTGCAGATCACTTGCGAGTATCTTATTGATGAATTGAATGATGTTCAGGTCCACATGGAATTTGGTCTGAAAACATTAACCTCAAAAAAGTTGAGTTTAAAATTACTCGGCTCGAACCGCGTAACTAGCGGCGTTTATGAGAGTCAGATATGAAAACAATTTCTTACCAAGTTTCAGCTCCAGAACATAAGTATCCCAACGAAATTCCATCACAATGTTGCCGGTAGTTCCGACAGAATCATGAAATACGTGTAAAAACAACACCTTGTACTGAAAACAGATCCCGTTACATTGTTCTACTGAGCAAATCAAACTTATTTTGTAGTGTTCTAAGCTACCCTAGCAAGGATATCAGGTTTTCTTGAAACAGTCTGTATAAATCTGAAATCTATAAAATAATAAACATTCGATTTCTCTTCCCGCACAACCAGATTCAGCATCGATACAAATCGCCTTCCCCCCCGCTACCCCCAACCACATCACCAAACCCACCCTCAACCACCACGGTTCACCGGCCCACCCCAGCCACCAGGACGTCCCGAGACGAGCCCTATTGGCCCACGCCGACCACCAGGACGTCCCGAGACGGGCCCTATTGGCCACGGTGAGAAGGGGAAGAGGGGGCAAGACGCCGGTCGAGACGACGCCTTGTCCGACGCATTCTTGTCACGGGACGCCGCAGCGGGGAGGCAGAGGGGTAGTGTGTGAGGCGGATGAGGCTGAGGACACTGATGAAGGCGAGCTGGTGATGTGAGTTTTTTTTGTTTTTTTTTACGTGGCTTCATTCATTTTCATTTCATCATTGTCTTTTTTTGAATTTACTCGGCCGTTACTCGATGGAAAAATGAGTAGAACCGAGGAAAGAATCACTCCAAAACTGAAATTATTCACTATTATTTACTATTTCATTCCACTGTGAACATTGTGGCTTTTTCGTAGTTCTTATCACGCCAGTCGGGCTGCCAGCCACTCCCGTATGGGAATTTCAGTTTTGGAGTGATTCTTTCCTCGGTTCTACTCAGATGGCGTTACTTCCATTTTATCGATGAAAGACGCCTCGGGGTGGATATAATGCCAACTTGAATTTTGTTTGGCTAGGCTTCGCTGAGTCGGCGGTCTTAGGACTGCTGGCTGGAGATTACACTGCACTGATGAGAGTCAAAGAGCTCGAAACCGGTCTGTGGTTGTCTAGCGGCCTGGCTTAATCGAAATCAATAGGCATTCAGGAAAGAATCACTTGTATCAGTATTCGTTTAAACGAGTCGATGCATAGATTTCGGGAGGATGTAATTCAATATTCTGCGTGGCATTAGCCAGGGAAGTAGTTATTTTTCTTCCGAAATCTACCATTGTTGTTCATTTTATGAACACTGGGTGGAAATGACTGAGCTTTTCACATTTATTTTCCATTGTCCTTGTCTTACTGCAAGGTTGCAGTAACCATTGAAACGGACATTCAGTAATTATAGGCCTGTTCGTTTGTATTGCTAAACTTGCCTAAGTTGATTTTTTCCCCATAGTTGTCTCTCTTCATGGCATGATGTATAAATAAAGAAAGTCATAGAAAAAAATCAAGTTCAGCAGGTAGAGCAAGGACAAACGAACAGGCCTTGTATGAATGTGAAATGATATGTTCTCAAATGAATCATTCCAGCAAGGTTATCGCATTGTTACATCAACGCTGACAGACCAATCAGAATTGAAAGACAGCTCAAGTTTTCGGGATAAGCACACATTGTCTTTGGCTTGTGATTGGTCTGATTATACAGGGTGCTTCAAGATTCAGAATTGTGATCATTCTGTATCTGTTCCAATTAAATGTCAGTAGATTGTGAATCGAAAGTTGAGATAGGGACATGTAAGCCTTTTTGATCGATAATGAATAGTTTCGACACAAAAAATACTAAAATTGAAAAATCTCGATTTTAAACACCATATATCTCTGTAATTATTTCTGCTAGACCCCAAGTGTGATATATTGATGGAATCAGCTCTTCAGGAAAAATCTGAAAATGCAATAAAATAGAGGGTGCTCCGTTTGAAATAACGAAGTTGCTAGTTGTTTCTGAAAAAAGTGGCAACACTGTATCGATGAAAATATTTTAGACGGATAGAGAATGTTCAATTATCAAAGAATTTCAATTTTCAGAATGTTCTGTCTCTTCGTTCTCCAGATACTTCTTATAAGCCATCCACCGTGGATCACCCTGTATGTATGACTTCAATCCTATCACATTATTTAAAATCACGATATGTGTGTGGCTTTGGTATACTATACACGTTCTTAAAGTGGCTCTCTGTTTTAACTGGCTACTAGTTGGAAATGTCGATTAAAATCAGTGATTTTAACTGAAGTATTGAGTAAGTGTCTAACTACAAATACATAGTAACATCATTGCAATATCTTATCTGAGAACTTAGATATTTGATAAAGTCTCTGCCCGGCAAACCCTGATTCCCTGATTCCAATGATGTAGTTTATTATACATTTTTATATATACATATATCTGTATTCTCAAACACACATACTTCTTGCTGTAAACCCGTTTTTGGAAGCAATGAAATTATTATTATTATTATTATTATTATTCAAAATCACGTGATGTTTCAGATGTCCGGCGCACGACACCCCCTCCCGCATCCCTCTGATCTGGCGACCGCCCGAACCGACTCCATCTTCCCCCACGAAGCCATCTTCCGCCGACGCGCCAACACTGCCCGCCCTCCTCGTGCTCGTCATCTTCGTCGCGTACGTCTGCGCAGGCGCCCTGCTGCTCTGCCGCACTGGCGATTGGTCCTTCCTCGACGCCGTCTTCTTTTGCTTCACGGCGCTGTCGACGATCGGCGTGGGGGAGGGGGTGCCCGGAGAGGGGATGACGGAGTTCCAAGGTCAGGTGCAGGTGATCGCGTGTTGCGCGTATGTGTTCGTGGGGCTGGTGGTGGTGGCGATGTGTTTCAGTTTGGTTTATGAGGAGATCGCGATGCGGTATCGGCAGATTGCCAGGAATGTGGGGATACTGAGGCAATAGACTCTTCTGAAATGCTGTGTCTGTATGTTTTATTTATTTTGTGTTATATTCTCTATGAATAAAATGTTGTTTCAATTTTGCAAAATGTCACTGCGTTCAAAAATGTCACAGACGAAGTAAATTGGGTTTGAGACAAAAATTTAATATTTACATCATGACTATCAGGCCAATTTTACTATATGCCTCGGTAGTCTGGGGCCACACAGCTAAATCTCATATCACCAGATTACGAACAATACAAAACATAATCGCGCGAATGGTGACAGGATCTCCTTGGTATGTTCGGAAAACCAGATCGCCAGGGATCTGAAACTCCCTTCAATCGTGTCAGTCATTAGAGAACGAAACATCAAGACTTTCGAAAAAGCTGAGGTTCATGAGAATCAGCTTCTTCGAAATGCAGTTGATTATGACTCAGGTGATCAATCAAAGTTCAAAAGACCGTGTCCATAAACTAGAGGAAATATCGATATTATGATCAAATTTACTATTCTCAAGTTTTTGATAATTATTTATTCGGTTCGATCTTTTTCAATTCTCAGAATGTATTTCTGAAACTTATTTGGGGCAGAAGGGCTGTTCGCTTCAAACTTCAATACCGTTTTTATTTCGTTTCATAATAGATATCAGGATAAGAGGGACTCTTCCCTGGTCTGAATAAAATAAAAGAAAGATCCAATATACATTGGGTGCATGATCTCTGTCCAGTAGAAAATGGTATAAAAATAGCATGATTCTAAAAATCCCTATATGGACAGTGAAGAGAATTTCGAGAATCAAACCAAACTATTCTGCTGATCATTGTGAAGCACCTGGTATTTCATGAAGTGACGACTTTGTTATTTCCAATAGGAAATCCTGTTAGGTACATTTTACACTGTTTTATCACTAACCAAACCGATTTTTTGATTCCACGATACGTGTTTCGCTGACTTTGTTAGCATCTTCAGGAAGAAATTGGAACTGAATTTCCTATTCGAGATTGCTGTTCATCACCCTTGACTGAAATCTTCTAAGCGAACGTGAAAGGAAATTCCGAGTATTTGTATTAGATATATCGACTTTATATTCACTATTTTCTGTACAGAAACTACGGATATAGATAAATTAATTTCAAAATATGTAGTAAAATAACTGTTCATTACGTTGAGAATTTTTATTTTATGTTATGTGTGTGCTAATGCACCTCTATTTGAGATTACTTATTGGCGAACACTCGCTAAAAAATGTAAAATATCTGGTATAACCTTATGGATGGTCTAGTTTCAACCGTTTCTGTATGAACAATCTGATATCATTTTGTTGTTTGCTGGTCCTTCCTCGACGCCGTCTTCTTTTGCTTCACGGCCCTCTTGACGATCGGCGTGGGGGAGGGGGTGCCCGGAGAGGGGATGACGGAGTTCCAAGGTCAGGTGCAGGTGATCGCGTGTTGCGCGTATGTGTTCGTGGGGCTGGTGGTGGTGGCGATGTGTTTCAGTTTGGTTTACGAAGAGATCGCGATGAGGTATCGGCAGATTGCCAGGAATGTGGGGATACTGAGGCAATAGACTCTTTCAAAATGCTGTCTGTATGTTTCATTTATATTGTGTTATATTCTCTATAAATAAAATGTTGTTTCAATTTAACAAAATGTCACTGCGTTTAAAAATGTCGCTATTAGTGCGCCTTAAAGAAAAATTCAATCTATTATTGTCTTGTTGTTAAAAATTTCTGAGGAAGAAGAATACAGGATACATCTTCATATAACGCGATCTTTATTATGAAGAACTAATACCGTTTATTTACACTCGTCGCACTACTTTTTCGACACTGAATGTTTCTCGTCTTCATTTATCACGTGTAATAATTATTCAAATATGTATACAGCGTGTTTTAGAATAACATCAGACGGGAGATGATTCCGCAAATAAAAATTTTAAAAAATGATGTTCCTCAACATGTGTCCTTGAATTCGGTTTTCTTCAATTATCTTTGTTACCATTGATCCTATAATCACGAAATTTGGTACCTGACGGTGATTCAATCTGAGGAATCGTTCTGTGGCAGAGTACAAAATTATTATACAGGGAGGTACAAAAGTCGTAACCGATACTATCAAAATGTCCCAAGTTTTTTTGTCTCATGGTATATATCATTTCTATTAACAATATGATTCTTCAAACACTATTATTTGAAGAAGGTTTCCTCATTAGAATGTCGTAAAACGAACCGTTTTTGAAAAAAGGATCAATTTTTCACCTCTAGTGAATAAGTTTGTGAAATTTAGTCCAATTCCATTGCAGATATTTTGTCAACAAATCACATCACAACTAACTTTCATTGAACAGAACTAACTGGAAATGTGAAACTTTGACTATGAAGTTTGATATTTTTATCATAAGAGCACATGCTCAAAATTATTGGTGATTCTTCTGATCATCAAATTGAAAATTGACACTTTTCTCGAATATGGTTCGTTCCACGGCATTTTAACAGAAATACCTTTATCATGTAAAAGAGTTCGAAAAGTCATATACTGATGGAAGAACTAGGATAAATCACGAAACAAAAAAAATTTGAGGCATTTTCATTGCATCGGTTACGAGTTTCGCACCTCCCTATATAATTAATCATGTTTTATGTATCAACTAACGATTCGTGAGATCGAAACACTCCTATGTATCGAATTTCGTGTTTCTACGATCAATGATAACAAAGATTATTGAAAAAACTGCATATAAAAAGACCTACTTTCAAAGGGTTCTAACGCCAATGGGAAGCATTTTTGTACACTTGTTGATAGGAATATTTTGTCTTATTTTTGTCTGCAAAATCACCTCCCGGAGTATACGAGCGTTATTTTGGGACACCCAGTATGAACTGAATGCATTATTTCTCTTCAGTGGAGATTGGTATAAAGCTATAGCATTATTCTGGCAATTCGAAGAATTGGAAAATCCAACTAAAATATTCTCATTATTAATTGTGAAGATCCCGGTATATCAGGAAGTGACGTCATTGTTATTTTCAATAGTAAACCCTCTGTCACATTACACTGTTTCATCATTAATCGATTTTCAGACGCCTGGACACATGTTTGGCTATGTTATAACATCTTCAGGAAGAAATTAAAACTAGATATCTCATACTAGTATGATTTCTTGGCTAAAATGTCAATGAACAGTTCGAAGCGAATGTGAAAAAAATATACGAGTATTTGCTTACACTTCGTATTAGATATGTCTACTTTATTTTTAACATTTTTGATATGACAACTACGGATATATAGATAACATCATTTCAAAGTGAAATTATTACTGTTCATTACGTTGAGATTACTGATTGGCGAACACTCGCTGAAAAGTGTAAACTATCTGGTATAACCTTATGGATGGTCTAGTTTCAACCGTTTCTGTATGAACAATCTGATATAATTTTTTTGTTTGCTGGTCCTTCCTCGACGCCGTCTTCTTTGGCTTCACGGCCCTCTCGACGATCGGCGTGGGGGAGGGAGTGCCCGGAGAGGGGATGACGGAGTTCCAAGGTCAGGTGCAGGTGATCGCGTGTTGCGCGTATGTGTTCGTGGGGCTGGTGGTGGTGGCGATGTGTTTCAGTTTGGTTTATGAAGAGATCGCGATGCGGTATCGGCAAATTGCCAGGAATGTGGGGATACTGAGGCAATAGACTCTTCTGAAATGCTGTCTCTGTATGTTTTATTTATTTTGTGTTATATTCTCTATGAATAAAATGTTGTTTCAATTATACAAAATGTCCCTGCGTTAGAAAATGTCACTATATTAGTGAGCCTCAAAGAAAACTGCAATCAATTGTTGCCATGTTGAAAAAAATTTTTTGAGGAAGAAGAATACAAGGTAGGTACATCTACATTTAACACGATATTTATTATGAAGAACTAATACCGTTTTACACTCGTCCCACTAGCTCGAACTCATGTGTAATTATTCATATATACAGGGTGTCCCAGAATAACGTTAGACGGGAGATGATTCTGCAGATAAAAAAAAAAGTTCCTATCAACATGTGTCAACGTGTGTCCTATATAGTTTTCTTGAATTGTATTTGTTAGAATCACGGAATATGGTACCTGAGGGTGATTCGATCTTACAAATCGGAAGTGCGGAACTCGTAAGCGATACTATAAAAATAATGGCCCAAGTTTTTTTGGTCTCATGATATATCTCATTTCTATTAACAGAATATAGTTAATCTAAATTTCTTGGTTTCCTTGAAAATCTCTTTAGAATTTTTCAAAAAGTTTTTCATTTGTAATTGTTAAAAGTTAGTAGGATCACGTATCAATATGTCAAATTCCCCTAAATTCAAAAAAACATTTTTTGATCAAAACTTTTTTTGTAAATTCTCTCACATAATCATTTAGTTCTTGAATGAATTCAACTGCCTCATTGATATCTTTCATAGTACACAAGTCAGTCCAAGATTCTTGCACATTTTATTGCTCAGTTTCAAAATATTTATATGATTTTTTTCAGTTCCCATTGTTTCTGCATTGCCGGGTAGATTAATGTCTAATAATATGATAATAATTGGTTGACTAGATTTCCATTATCATTGGTACGACAATATCATGAATGAATTTTGTTAGCCGGAAATGTATATACGGTAATATATTTGTTGTGATTTCCCCTTTTTTTTTTGTTATAGATAGAACGCATGTTGTTATTTTTTGAAAGTAATGAAAAAACAAATTTGTTAGTTGATAATCAATAATTTTATTCTCCAAAGTACAAATATCATCAATAAACTCAGTGGTAAGTAGGTCTTCCAATTGGCCACGTAACCCATGATGGAGTATATTGGACTTTCGTACTCCCTGGGAGACTTTTTCAAACTCCTTTGTGTCGGCCTGTAAATGAGTTGGTACATACAGTGTTTTTCTTAAATGATATGGTGTACTGTCCACTTGTTTCAATACTCGTGAAGTACACATAGAAATTGCTAAAACTCTGAATACGGATTCAGCTTTGATGGCAATACAGAGATTTATCAGTAGAAGAGGTCAACTGCTAGAACTACATTCTGACAATGGTACTGATTTCGTGGTGCAGAAAATGAGATTAAGAATAGTCTCAAGGAAATGAATCATACTAATATGGTAATATGGTTGCCGGATTATCAAAATTCAAGATGAAAAGGGTGTTTAATGCACCATTGGTACCAAATAGAGGAGGTGTTTGGGAGAGGTTAATTCGCTCAGTGAAAAATGTACAATACATTGAAAGAACAATATCCTCCAGAAGAACTGCTGATGAAATTGTTATTAGAGGCTGAGAGAACAGTCAATACCCGACCAATAAGTCACGTTCCTTGTAATGCAAATAGTGGCGAAACAGGAGCATAAACCACAATGCATTTTTTATAGGAAGTGCAAACACTGAAAACATACCTGGAGTTTTCAAAGCTGGTGACATTTACGGAAGAAAACAATGTCGCGTCTCCCAATGCCTAGATCGAGTCTGGCAGAATCTATAGAAGAGGAATAAATGGTTTGATAGAAGCTCGAATATAACCATTGGAAATATAATCGCCATTCCAGATGAATCTAACAGAAACCATTGGAGACTTGCAAGAATCACAAAATTGTTTCCGGGCTAGAACGATGGAAGTAAATACCAAAAATGTAAACTTCGTTCACACAATCAACAAATTACTTTTCTTGGAGACTGGAGAATGATAATTACTTATATTTCACATTATGGATGCTCTGTAAATACTTACTGGTGTCAGTTTATGTAATATAAAAATGAATATGATTGAAGTTGTCAAATAAATAAAAAAGTTTGAACAGTTATTTTTGTCTTTGGAATCACAAAAGATTCCTATTTACCGTTAGATAAAATCCTTCAGATAGTTCCTGGAGATATTCAACAGGTATCTATATTCAGATGATCACTAAGATTCATTAAAATGTAATAATAGTAAATGTGCTATAGGAGTTCCCCGACCGATTTCAAAATTCTAAGTCATTTTTCCCCAGACTCTACGGAAATAATACGATGCACGACGAAAAGCCCCATTAGAGCCCATGTAAAGCAAAGTGAATTTTTCCCCAGGTCTACGGACTTTTTTCGTGAATTTTAAGGTCCATTCTGGTCATTTTTGTCTCTTTCAAGGACATCCATCTCTGACCAGTGAGAACGGCGATTCTGGTGCTGCAGACCGCTGAACGCTCTCAAATAGGATTGTTCGATGGGTCCTGAGGGAAGTATACCCCAACTAGGGCCATATAGTGAATATTATGCCAACTATAGGTTGTTGTATATCAAATGAAAGGTCTCTGCTTGAAATTTACGAAAATCAATTTTTGAAGGGTCCCCAAGGGCCATATAGTGAATATTATACCAACTATAGGTTGTTGTATATCAAATGAAAGGTCTCTGCTTGAAATTTACGGAAATCAATTTTTGAAGGGCCTCAAGGGCCATAAAGTGAATATTATGCCAACTATAGGTTGTTGTATATCAAATGAAAGGTCTCTGCTTGAATTTTACGAAAATCAATTTTTGAAGGGTCCCCAAGGGCCATATAGTGAATAGTATGCCAACTATAGCTTGTTACCTATCAAATGAAAGGTCTCTGCCTGAATTTCACGAAAATCAATTTTTGAAGGGCATCAAGAGCCATATAGTGAATATTATGCCAACTATAGGTTGTTGTGTATCAAATGAAAGGTCTCTGCCTGAATATTACGAAAATCAATTTTTGAAGGCTCCCCAAGGGCCATATAGTGAATATTATGCCAACTATAGGTTGTTGTATATCAAATGAAAGGTCTCTGCTTGAAATTTACGAAAATTAATTTCTGAAGGGTCCCCAAGGGCCATATACTGAATATTATACCAACTATAGGTTGTTGTATATCAAATTAAAGGTATCTGCTTGAAATTCACGAAAATTGATTTTTGAAAGGTCCCCAAGGGCCATATAGTGAATATTATGCCAACTATAGGTTGTCGTATATCAAATGAAAGGTCTCTGCTTGAAATTTACAAAAATCAATTTTTGAAGGGCCTCAAGGGCCATGTAGTGGATATTATATCAACTATAGCTTGTTACCTATCAAATGAAAGGTCTCTGCTTGAATTTTTCGAAAATTATTTTTTGAAGGGTCCCCAAGGGCCATATACTGAATATTATGCCAACTATAGGTTGTTGTATATCAAATGAAAGGTCTCTGCTTGAATTCCACGAAAATTAATTTTTAAAGGTCATCAAGGGCCATATAGTGAATATTATGCCAACTATAGGTTGTTGTATATCAAATGAAAGGTCTCTGCTTGGAATTTACGAAAAACAATTTTAGAAGGGCCTCAAGGGCCATGTAGTGGATATAATATCAACTATATAGCTTGTTATCGAAAGAACTGATTGCGAAAAAATACAAAAAATGTATTTCAATGTTGAGTACAGTTCACACCATCTTATATATGAAAACAAAATTCCATATATAGAGAACCATGGCGCAAACCATTTCAAGAGGTAGACGTGTTCGCGATTATCTTCAGTCTCATCAGAAAAAATCGCTTCAGGTGTGATGGAATTCAGTATAATCAGCTACATTATAGACGAATCAATACGAATAATGATGCGGCAATTGGTCATAAATGTTGTCGGTATGAAAAGTGAAAAACGCGAAAGTCATGGACAATCTACGTGCTTGCCAGAAAACATCATCTATGTGACAATTTGAAACTGGAGGAGCGTAGTTAAGGTTTGTTAATTTGTGGCGTAGTTGAAACTCCCTGCCTTTACAACACAGTGCTCTATATGCAAGATAACCTACTATGAATATAGATTTGATCTCATGCGATTCAACAGATGAAATAGTATCGACACCCATAAGATATCCTCAAAATGATTTATATTCCATAACTAGAAACTTATAGAAATTCATATGATAATAGAAACAATAGGTGATGAAATAATATCAGCTCCTTCGATAATGGAACATCTCGGAAACTGATTTTGGTTTCAAAAATGTCTTCTTTCATAGTATATTTCTATCACTCTACATTCTTTTTATTAAATTAGATCATGAACATTATAGATATCTTCAAAATGATCCATATTTTGTTACAAAAACCTTTATATTATGTGAATATATGAACAGTATGATGCAAAGGTGTAGAATAAATTTTTGAAACTAGACGACCCTCAGATGTTCAATTCTCAGTAGCAGACCTCTGCAAGATTCAGTTAAACAAATTAGCAATCTTCTAATGCAAAATTTTGACTGTTGGATAGACGAAGCGTAACTGAGGTTTGTTGATCTGTAGCGTAGTCGTAACTAGAAACCTATAGAAATTCATATGATAATAGGAACAATAGGTGATGAAATAATATCAGCTCCTTCGATAATGGAACATCTCGGAAACTAATTTTGGTTTCAAAAATGTCTTCTTTCATAGTATATTTATATTACTCTACATTCTTCTCATCAAATAAGATTATATATATATCCATATTTTGTTACAAAAAACCTTTATATTATGTTTATATATGTTCAGTATGATGCAAATGTATGGAATGAATTTTTGAAACTAGACGACCCTTAGATGCTCAATTCTCAGTAGCAGACCTTTGCAAGATTCAGTTAAACAAATGAGCAATCTCCTAATGCAAAATTTTGACTGTTGGATAGACGTTCAGTAGACCCATCAGATGAGGTGTCACATGGTCCCTGTTTGTATTTGAAAAAATCGTTTATTTCGTCATTTCTCCAGCACCGGTGACGTAACATCTTCATATTATGGGATGAGGCTTCAAAAATTATAACGTGTTTTTGGATTTCTTTCAAAGGTCACCCATTTCTGGAATGAATCTATTCCATAATTTTGCATCATACTGTAAGTTGTTTTCTTATTACTCTCATCGAAATAATATGGTAAATTGTATGTTGTTGATAATACTGATTAACGAAAACTGAGTGCATTCACTATTACGTATCTGCACTGAGAGAACAGTTCATTAACAATAAAGAAATTTTATTTATTGTTAACGAATGACGTTGTTGAATATGGGCTAACTAACATGATTTCATCACAAACTAATGGTATTTTAAAAAATTACAAACGAATATAAAGGTTAATATTAAGTTCTAATAATCTTGATCTCATGAAACATATATTAAATATTAACAAATATCACTTTGTGGACACAATACACCATTTTGCATTGAAATATATTTGTTTATAATAATGTAACGTTACTTTAAATTCACTTACTGTTTTCTTAATGCAATCGACTGTCACTTATATGTTAAGTTATCTATATTAAAACTTAATACACTGCGTTCTGATTTTAGCTTTTCCAGTGTTGAACAGAAAGGAGGCATTGTTTTAATAAAGAAGCAATACTTATAGCATGAGGAATCATTTTTTTATTGATAAGTTATGCTTCCTCAATATATAATATATTGTTTGGTTATTGATAGTTAATATTTTGAGTCGATGATCGATGGTTCCAATTGTTTTTTCCTAACAGAAAGAATAAAGAGTCTCTGAGAACAAATTTATTTAAGCAAAAGTTTACAGTATAGTTACATCACATATATTTTGATATCAAAACATCTGAATGAAAAGAGCTAAAATCAGACCAGAAATCCAGGTGTATCGAGCATCCACTATATATTGATATGAATGATCTGTAACATAAAAATAAACAAGTTCTTGATAGAGATAATATATCTTGTCCCATTTAATAATCGGTACGGTATTTTTTCATCTTTTGGAGCGCACGAAAGGATGTTGACATTGCATTTAATCATTCAAAATGATTGTAAAGTATAAGAAAATAATAAAACTATCAGGTTTTCCAAGGTCAACGATGTTCATTAGGTCGAAAAGT